ATTGATCTTCTTAAAAATATTTTGAATATTCACAATTATAAAAAAGATATATATATATATATATATATATACTGTAAAAAATGGCCGTGATTTCAACAGTAAAAAACTGTAAAAATGCTACAGTACAAATCCGTAACCTGGTTAACATTATGTTTCCCTAATATATATGGCGAATAACCGTAAATTGACTTTCCCAGAATTCCCTGCATGGCACAATACTTTTATGCATTTTGTTGACATTAATATGGATCTTTTAGTTGTTTCCCCATCAGTTATGTAAATTATAGATTAATGTTACATCTAATGTTGATAAACAATGTTTATATCATGACTTTAATTTTATACGTGTTACCATACTGGTGTTTAGTAGCTGTGTGAATGACACTGAGCACCTTCTATATGCTGATACTCTTTTCTGCTTGTGGGAACAGCTGTTTGTGATGAGCATTGGCTCATTATGTAACTTCCTCATCACCGCCTGCATGTGGGTGTGCTAACGTGTTTAACTGTGTAACAAAAGATGTGTAGATGTTGGTCATTCAAAATACAGACATATTACCTCTATAAATTAATAAAATACGGTAGTTTACCATAAAAATGAGAAATGACTTTTACAGTTTGTACAGTGGTTTTAACTGGTAACCACAGCTGCTGTTTTTTTACCGTAAATTTTTCGGATTTATTTTTTACAGTCAGGTTTTACTTGTAATTTGACCCCCAAATATGTTATTTGTAACAATTTGTAAACAATTTATCCGTGGAATTTTTATTGAATCTTTTGATTTCGTTCGGTAAATTTCATGTTCATAAATGCAGGTTAAATAACAGTAAACCTTGTTTAAAGGTTGCTATTATAGATTTTCATTTGTATATAGAATCGCTCCAATATATTAAGAGCGAAAAATGTAAAAATACAATTATTGTGGGAAAGGAGATGAAGTTGATTGATTAGTAACCTTGCTGTCAATCGGTTAAGTTAAAAGATTATCATTGTACAGATCTCTATGTTGAATTGTCTTGTTATTTGTTTAATTATAATAATAATTATAATTAAACAAATAAAATAATAAATATAATAATTGTAATTTATTTTTTAGTTTATTTTATGTTATTAGTTACATTTGTATTTTTTGGATGTCATGTTTAAATTGTATATTTGCTTTTTAATAAAAAAAAAAAAAAAGTGTTCCCGCCCTGCACCGCGTGCTGAGTTGATGCTCTTCAGCATTTTAGCAAGAGAAGTTTAGAGAGAATTACAGTAAGTGTGTTTCATCACTTCCTCCAAACTGCTGACATTTTACCATCAGGACAAATAAGAGTTGAAATGTTGAACCCAAAATGACCAGAGACATGTTTGAGACTATTGAACAGTCTGTGGTTGTGTTGATGTTGCTGTTTTGCTTGTGATTGGAGTTATTTTCTGTGTAATCAGTATATTTTAACCGAATGTTTTGTCCTTTCACTGATAAAACAGATGCAAATAAGCCTAAAGGTCAGCTTTGTGCCAGTGTGAATACAGACAGAGGATCAGCAAATAAATGGAGAACATTAAAATCAGAACTGCACAGGGTTTCCTCTTTAGTCAGATGTAATTCTAGTTGCTGAGTTTTTAATGAAAGTCATTTAGTTTTCAAAGCTGAACTAGTGAATAGTGAATCATCATAAAGGTTAAAGTCACAAACAAAACACATGAA